GGCACATGTCTGTAGTCCTAGATGCTCAGGAGGCTGAGGCAGGAGGATCAATTGAGTCCAGGAGTTCAAGGTTGCAGTGAGCTTCGATCGTGCCACTGTACTCCAGCCTGAGTGACAGAGCAAGACTCTGCCTCTAAGAAAATAAAATAGGGAAGGGAAAGGCAATATAGGGAAGCAAAATAAACATAGCATAGGGATTAAGGAAAATATTGAGAAAGATGAAAAGCTTGTACCTTGTAATTAGAGATGCAAGTTCTCACCCTCATTTTGAATTTCTATAATAGGTTCAAACTTTTTCTCTCTATATCTAAACTTTTCTCTTTCCAAATAATGATAGCCCAAACATTTACTGAATACTTACCAAATGCCAGGTCCCACACCAAATACTTTACCTGCATTATTCCACTTAATCTTCACAACAATCCTATGAAGTAGGTCTTATTACTATCCCTGTTTTATGGATGTAACAACTGGGCACATGGAGTTCATAAGGTCAGATTTTTAACCTAGTTTGATACCAAAGACCATGCTTTTTGATCCTTATACCATACTGCCTCTGTAAAGCAGACAAATAGCAGTAATTTTATAGAAAATGTTAATCACATCACAGATGTGCAATACATACCATCTATGATAGACTTTCAGAGGTTACCACAATCCAGCCCTATCGATCTTATGGATACACTAATCAGGCATCCCCTTCCTGTCCCTCCTGCGTTGCAGCATTTTCGGTCCTATTCTTTGGTCTTAATACTTCCTATTACCTAGGAATGCATTCCCACAGCACCCTCACTATCACAAACATATAAATTTGACAGGGCCTAGGGCTCCAGTCCCACAAACTCCAAGAGCATGCTCCAATATCATACATTCACTGTGGTGTCCTTCTCAGAACTTCAAGTGCATTTATTAATCACTTCATTCATCCTGACTTTTAGCCAAGAGGTCACACTGTCACTTTTATACAATTACTTTTTAAGCATAACAATAAAATACAAAATCATTCAAAATCCTATTACTCAAAAGCTAACCAATGGTAAAAATTCTGTGTATTTCCTTCTAGAAGTTTTTCTGTACAGTTTAGAATAGAAAAACTGTATGTGTAATATGTATTATTATTTTCATTTATACTTATTTCTCATCTCATTGCTAATTCTTCACAAAGATGATTTTAACCAGTTATATGATAATCCATTATGTAGATATATAATTTATTTAGTTATTCCCTTATTGAATATTTATCAAATAATTAATACATTCTCGGAAGAG